ACATATTAAAATTTTAAATAGAATTATTATGTAAAATTTTGTGTAATTAATAAATAAATGACGTGCGATACTTTTGTCCAAGTAGTGTATGCTTCCTGTGTTCTCCTGATGTCCTGGATTCCTGTACTTGTTATGGTGTTATTCTTCTCACTGCTGGTGGATGCTGATTCTTCTAACTCTTTCATGAGTTCCCCTATACTTTCTGGGTATCAGTTGGCGCACTCCTACTCTAAGGCATCAACTCTTTCGTTCAAATCTTAAAGAAAGTTCTTTATTTCGTTGATCTCTCTTTGGATTACTGATAAGGCCTGCCAAATATCTTCCATGTGTTGGTCGGTGTTGGGGCTTCATCCATATTTCAGGATGCTCGCATAGCTCCTATTATCTTCATTTGTTCATGAGTTTCTGGTAGTGCCAGGGTTGAAGTTTGTTCTATGTTATGGTTGTGGTGGAATTCTTGGGTTGTTGAATCTATTGGTATATTGTCTTGGGGGAAGAGATTCGGATTTGTCTGGGCATGTGTGCATGTTGTGTTCCAGTGAGCTGCAAATGAGACACAATCTTGTTTCCTGGTTGACCCAGATTGTTTGGGTCCCTTTGATTACTGGGGTCACCGATTTTGCATCTAGAAGTTCTTCTCTGTTCTAAAAGATGAAGATAGCGAACCTCTTGGCTTGATTGTTATTGTTGTAGGGAATATAAACTGATTTTGCTTTTGTGCTGATAATGGTTACTGTTAGATCTGCTGCTGTCATATCTGGTGACAGACATGTGAGTGTAGCACTGAAACATTCCCTTTGTTCTTTGATTTTGTGTGTTTTGTAATAAGAAAAGATCCTGCATGAGTATAGACCTTTTGTGAGTACCCAGTCCTGGCTAATCTCTACATAGTTTGAAGTATTGGAAAAGATGATATTTGCTATCTGGAAGGGCCCTGCTCTTTGCAAGGTGATGTAATCGATGCTGATTTGTTCATCGAAGAATTCTACTAGATCTGTTTTGGTGAAGTGTTGGGGGACGTCCCATATCCGGATGGTGCAGAAGTTGCTTTCTTGGGATCCCAATGGAGCAGTCTTTTTGAATTTGGTGTTTTTATAGTCAGTGATCTTCAACTCGCATGCTCTTTGTGCATCCTCTTGATTACTGAAAATGGCCATGATTTGGGTCTTTCCTATTGGATACTCGTATCTTACATATTTCAGAGAGTTGAGGTGTCCCATTTTTTGTCTGGTGAAGTCTAATTTCTCTATGGATGTTTGTCCTGGTACCCTTTCCGGGTCGATAAAGGCTTTTCATGTCTGGATGTTTCTCGTTGGTCTTGACGATTTCATGGTGATGCTGATCTTTCACTTGTGCCTTTCTGATCAGCATAATTGTATTCTACCTGACCAGTGATGTCCGCTTGTTTGTACTGAGTTTGTTCTTCTTGGATGCTTCTGTCTTCTGACTCACAGACTGTGACTGGAGATGGTGCTCTGCTGCTTGTCGATGCTTCTGCTGATTCTAGTATTGCCTTGTCTCTTCTACTTCCATCTCCTTAAGCTACCTGGGAGTGTCGTCAATTTCTTTTGCTTTCTCTTTGTTTACTGGATGCTTCGGGAGTGCTGTTCTGGTTTCCAGGGGTGTGTGTCTGAGTTGTGATGTGTGTGTTGTTCCTTTTGCATTCAGGACTCTTCCATTATTCTTGTTGATTCTATTAACATTGTACTTTGGTATTGATTGTCTTTCTAAGCTCCTCAGTTTCCTGATAGTGGCCATTCTGAGGAGGGTTGCTACTTTGTAACTGGGAGTGAGTTCTTTTTGTGCTTTTGCCTAATAAGGAAATTTTTTCGATTTTGAGATTTTCAGGAAAGAGTTTTTTGATAGCTATTTTTGATAATTCATAAGAATTCTTCATCTATTAGAAAACACTTTATATATTGATAATTAATAAAATCAGCAAATATAAATTTTTAAAATTTTATATTTTGATTTTATTTAAGTTACAATTTTAGGTCTAAAAAATTTTTAATTTATTATACAGTAAAATGTTTAAAAATATAACTTATTCTATTTTAGCACAATCATGAATAATTATTATGTCATATATTTTTTATAAATAAAATTTGACTAACTATACTTATATTATTCATTGCATCATAGTTATTTCATATCACGACTAGAAATAATCATCATATCCCGCGTAATAATAAAGACAAAAAATATATCATTCTCGGTAGAATAGATTTAATATAGATTCTTATAACGGAATTTTTATTAATTGGGACTTAGGTTTGAGATATATGAAATTTCACCATACATAACTCGAACTCAAATTCAATAAATTAAGGTGATTATTGCTATCATTAAACAATATAATTATTTTTTTTTAGATCATGTTCAAAAATCTTTTCAAACTTCTTATATCTTTTGAACATCGAAAGTGAGATAGTCAAAATACTCTAAACCAGGTCGCATTCGGCCATTATATTGCAAATCTGATGTTAATTTACAATTTTAAAAAATTTCATTTTCGTATTAATTATCAAACATGCCCTTAATGTCTGTTAATACATAGAACAAATGTTGCAAATCGAGAAAACTAGTTATCAACCAATGGGAATTATCAAATTTGCAATCGATTTTCTAGTTCCTTTCTCGTTGATTCAATCATATTTTCCTGCTCCTTCCTTGTGGCGTTATATTGTAAAACATTTACTTGATTAAAAGGATTTTCTGGAGATTTCTGTTATGTAAATTTAACGATGAGGATATTAGTCATTTGAACACACGAACAATCTTCCTGTCTTATAATTAGCTATTACCAACCTGGAAGTTTTTGAAGATTATATCTCGATATTGAGTGTAACGCAATCCTGGATTCTCCTGTTTTATTATTGGCATTTCGCGTTCTTCATAAGCTGCCAAAGCCGCCTGCAGAATTAAACAAATTATAGTAAAATCAATAGTGACATTGAAGTTACATGGTCAATCGAAGCAATTCATTTTATAAAAAAAGTCGGTAGCTTCATTCTTATGAAGTTGACCATGTAAACAATAAATCCGTGACATAATTTCATCTCAACATACTTTAAATCGCCTTTCTGGGTGCCTTTCAATATTCGATGCATTATTAAGCACTGCTGAACCTCCGCTTATGGCGGGCGAAGGGTTTGTGGTCAACGATAATAAGTCCAAGGCATCATCAATATTTGACGCTGCATATTCTGGAATTTCACGCCGTTCTTCGGTAATTTGTTCGTGTTTCTGAGTTCTTTTGATGGCTTTTTTCTGAGAAATGTGATCGATTGTAACCATCTCGATAAAATAAAACTTGACATAAATAATTAAACTAATACATACCTCTTCGCCTGTTATTTTTAATTTAGGCTTATATCTAGAAAGTTCTTTTTCTTCCTTTTCCAAAAGTTGCGCTGCTTCATTTTTCTTGGTTAATCGAGCTTCCTAGTTTTTTTTTTTTAAGGTGAGTTGATTTCATGAAGAATTAAAGTAACATTGTAAACATACCTTCTTTAATTTTTGCGCTTCTTTCCTAGAAGTATCCTTTGCTCCAACAGACCATTCTTCAGCCTCTTTACGCTCTTTTTCGGCTTGTTTTTTGCCTTGTGCTTCTGCTTGATGAGCAGCTTTTCGCTCCCTTGCAGCACTGACTAATGATCGACCGCAAAATCGTCTCAGTTAATTCTTCAGCGCAATCTCAGAAGTATGCGGAGTTACCTTTAGTGTTTTCTCCTTTAAATTTTTTTGGCATTTTTTTATACAAGAAATGTTTTTGTCGCCTGATCGATTTTATACCAATACTTCCTGTCGACAGACCACATGACTATAACGTGTCCCGCGATTTTATACCAGTTTTTATTTTTATCCTAACTTTTTATAAACTTACTATAAAAAAAGTATTTTTTGGTATTTGAAAATATACAAAAACTTTTTGCTAGTTATAATGGCAACTTTTTTTAATTGTTAAAATCAAAAAAAAATAAAATAAAATAAAAATTTTTTCTACATATTTAAGTCTTTTTGATGATAACAATTTTTCAAATAAATTTGCATTTATAAAAAGAATGAATTAATTTCTAGCCGACATAGTGATAGGTCATATATTTATTAAATTAACCGGATATGCCCTCAATTTTTAGTTTGATCCAATTTTGCATCAAAGAGAAAAAGAAACAATAGATCGAATCGACCGGTAAATTCGTTCATTTATTAAGAAGCGACATTTCACATCTTATTACACCTGCTCGTTGTGAAATCATGTGAATGGATAGAGAGAGAAATAAAAATTCTCATCACGCTATTCGACATCAGCGGCGACTATTTTTTTTCTCTTGGCCTGGGTGCCTAATGGGCAAATTGGAAGTCAATTAAATTTTCGAAATTGCATAAACTAAAATTGAGATCGACTTGAATTGAAGAGTTACCCTCTCGGAAGCCGTTCTTAAAACGTCGATGCACGAGTTTTAGGTAACGCATGCGTCCAGTTCCCGTGGTTTTTCTACGTTTACCTTTTTCACTCCAGTTATCTTGTTATTAATGATAAATCATCAAGAAGCAAAATTTGCATTTAGACTTTATTATTAGTACGATTTACTTTATCATCAATGTGTAGAAAGGCACTAACAGCTTCTGGTCTTCGCGGAAGGGTACCCGCACTGTGCACAGGTTTTCTTTTGATTATGAAAAGCACGCCTTCCACAACGGCGGCAGAGAGTGTGAGTCTTGGTGTGACGTTTACCGAAGCTTGAGGTACCCTTTGTCTAGGTGAATGAAACATTTCAAAAAGATTTGAGTAACAATTCGTTAATTGAAAAGTTGTTCATGTCAATGGTCACAAACTTTCTGTGAGTGAGTGTAAGGCTATTTCTGGTGGCAAAGATTGCGTTTAACGAATACCGACGCTAATAATCTATAAAGCTCGAAATATCTTTCGAGTTCATTCGCCCAGTCGAATCTTTACCAATCTATGCTTAAGCCGATATTCAATGGGCACACTAAAAAATTTTGATGAGAACGAGGAATCAAATTTACCATGATTGATCAAGGGAATGTGAAAGAGAAGATTTCAATATTGCATGAACTTAGTGCTACATATCAAGATTCTTGGGGATAAAAAAATTCCGATTGGCTGAAAAATTCGTAAAAAAAATTTTTTTTTCCTACGTATATGTACTGTACTTTATTTCAATGTTTCAACAATTTAAAAAATTTTCTTCAGTTTTTAACATCAAAGATCTCATAGATACTTCAAAGTATGTTAAACCTCCTTTTCCTTCGTGCCTACCACTTTCGTAATTAAGTAATTTTTTTAATTTTACAGGATCAACGAGGGAGATATCAAAAATATCACCAGAGAAGGGTAAAGATTTCTTATTATTTTTAAAATCTGGCGTTTCTGGAATTCATGAATTCTCGACGAAAGATTACAGGCCGTTAAAAGCGAATGGGAGAATCTTCGTTCAAAGTCTGCCGAAATATTAACCCCCGGACTCAGTTCCAGGCTGATCCCTAGGTATATTTGCATTCACCTTGTTTCCTTCGTCGTCCGTAATAATAACGTGTGTCTCCAACCAATCACACAATAGTGAGTCACATCGCCTGAACCTACCTGTCACAACTGAATTGGCAACAAGGTAGATGATAAATTTTGACATCGGCTTGATTGATTCCATGATGATCATTCACCTACCTACCTTTCCATTTCAGATACGAGAGCGAATGGAACTCCATTCAAGTCGAAGATGGAAGAAATTTCCGTAGTGCAACAGTTATTATCATATTCGCATTCGACTTTTCCATTAAGTTTGCTAAATGATCTGCTGATTCACACCAAAAACTGTGTCCAGATGGCGGATGAGTTGATACAACAAATACTCGGAACGTGTGAAAGTCACTACGAATCATGCGAGTTGATTAAATCGGAAGCTAGCCAGTTACCAAAAGTAAAGGAGATGATCGATGAAGCTACGACCTTGGCAGGTAGGTTTTTTTCACGGGAGTCAGTTACTTTTAGGATTCCTTATTCTTTCTAATTCAATGAATATTTTAAATAGTCTCGCTAAAGGGGAAATTGACGGAATTAGAGAAAATGATTGACGAGTTCGCTAAAGGAAATGAAGCGCGATCCTTCGAAAGGTGGAAGCAGAATCAGATCAATGCGTTTGACCGATACGTGGACTTGAAAAAGTTGGTTGTTAAATAAATTCGTTTAATTGAATGAAGGAGCTTTGACATTGAAAGTATATCATTCTTCGTCTAGTGAGGAGCTAGAAGAAAAGAGAAAACTCTACAATCAGCATTATGAAGAATTTATGTTTAACAACAAAGCCCAAAAGGTGCAATTATACCAAGCCAATTTTGAGATGCAAATGGAGAATTATCGCAAGCGAACAATGAACCCACCATTATACAATAATGGTAATTAGTAAAGTGCACATGTGTTAATTCTTTTAATCCCTGAATCTATATTACATGATCAATCTTTCGTTCACAGAGCACACAATGAGCTTGTCGGATGATGATGTCATAGCAAAGTTGGAACAGGTCGAAATTGAAACGGCTGATGATCGGGACGCATTGGAAAACTTTCTTGAATCTTCGAGTGACGTCGAATACGGCGTCGATAGTAGAATAAAGTAATTTTCATTAATGGATGTTTTTGATTCCTTGGAACACATCCTGAGTCGATTTCAAAATTCCGAAAATTAATGTCGCACGGGTTGACCGGGATCTGTTCCGTGATAGGTGACGTATTCTCGATATTCGTGTTTCTCCCCGGTAAGTAATATGCATACAGGTTTTGACGTTCTCTTATACACTGCACGGTGCAATATTGTAAACTATAAAAATCTTAATAATGTAAATTCCCTTGGTAGGTGCGAATCGTAAATGGTGTCATGTTGCCTAGTCAGAGTTGAAATCAAATAAATTAGGAAATGTAAGAGTAATAAAAGATTTTTTAAAGTATGCGTATCATTCCTGTCCGTTGATCTTGTACGAAAAAAAAATTATATACGTTACAAACATGTCTCACGTTTTCTGTATGACATTCAATATTCACATTGGTTACCTTCGTAATTTTTATGTACGTTTCACATTCAATTTGTATACCGTTTTGTTTGTCCGCGTGAAATAAAAACTTTCAGATCTTGATTAGTCAAAATGACACTCAACCATATAACTCGTAAAAAAACGATGGAACAGTTGAAACCTTCAACAACAACGACTATTTCAAACGAAACAATGACGGAGGCGGAAGAATCCGAGGAAGAAACAGAATTTCTTCCTTCTTTCACGCAGCCATCACTTTCAACATTGGATACAAGTGAGATGTCTGAAGTTTCGGAAGACAAATGGCTGATACAAAACAAGTCCAAATCGCTATCTGCCTCAACCCTTGGAACTCAATTGCGAAGTGATCCCCAGATTTCTGAGAGCAAAAAAAGGTTTAGGATAAATAATGCCGATAAAGTATTACGAATGTGTGCCATGGCTTGCGCCTGTACCTTTGGTGTTGGCAGCCATTTTGCGTCGCACATGATAGGACCCATGAAAGGAATACTAATGCAGGTAGAGTGCTACTTATTATATTGACGGAATTTTTATTTGTGAACTGAGCTTTCTCAAGTTCTCGAGTTGTATTTTTTAGGATTTGATGGCAGTTTATTAACTTTTCCTTTTTGATCTGCGTCCAAAGAGACTTGATCTTACGAACACACAATTCTCGCTATTGATCGCGTCGCTTACATTATGTAATACGGTGATACCAATAGTTTCCGGTCTGCTAGTGGCCCGGTTTGGAACCACCAAAAGTTCCCTTGTTATAACCACAGGAATTCTAATAGGAATGATCATTGTAACGACCGCCTGTTGGACAGGAAATGTTGGGGTCATGATTGCTGGATTTATAGTATTCGGGTAAGTCAAGTTAAATGGAAAACTATAATACGTTTGAACCTCGCCATTTTTTTTTTTTTTAATACTCATGTACATCTACGCGCAGCACCGGCTTAGCACCATTAACGATCGTCCAAGAGACCATAATCGTCCAATTTTTTTACGGCAATAGTTTAGGATTTGCTCTGGCCGTTGGCTTGACGTTTGGAAGATTGGTAATCTATTATTATAGTTATTATAATGCGAGTTCATCACACCTGTAAAACTATTTCGATTTTAAAAAATAGGCATCCTTTGTTGCAACGGTGTTGGCCGTTCCGTTATCCATGATGCCGCCACTAACCTACCGTAATCCATTCATAGTAGCTACACTCACATGCCTCGCGTCTTGGATAATGAATCTTATGTACATATATCTTCTCAGAAAGGCTGACAACCGGAAGGCCAGTGAAGGAGGGGTTGCAATGCGCATAGCCGAGAAGAAAAGGGTTCACTGGAATGATATATTTGATCTTTCCGACATTTTCTGGTGGTCATTGGTCGTGGGAGTTTTGTTTGGGTCCTCGATGACGCCGTTCCTTCATCTATCGAGGTTAGTTCCGAATATATCGATATTAACCAGCGATATGCCTTACAGAATATTAAGAAGGTTTTTTCGAATTCATCTGAATAGCAACATAATTAAGCACCGATACGACATGAGTGATTTGATAGCTTCATGGGACGCCTCGATAATCCTACTGCTCCCAGTAATAGTGTATCCATTTCTAGGACTGTTTATGGACAAGTATGGCTGTAGATTATGGATTCGTAAGTTCTTTTTTTTTCTTTTTGCAACGAGCGTGGTAACTACCCTTCATATCGGTGATTCCAACGTGTTTCTCATTGCATACTTTGATTTTCTTCTTTTCCTACAGTGATATTTGGTTCCGCTGCATTTTTGGTCACCTTTTTATTATTGCTGGCACCTCCGGGTACGATTCATCCGTTTCCTCCAATCTTCATATTTGCGGCTGCATATTCTGTCGTTCCGCTTACCAGCGTCACACTTATCCCTTTGCTTACAAAACACGTGTCCACCGGCCTCGGGCTTCTTAAAAGCGTAGACAATATTGGGGCTACCTTGAGTCAAACGATCTCCGGATTGTTGCTCGATGCGCATATGAAACGATCGTACAAGGTTGATGAAAATGGCATCGAGCGAGGTCACGAGGATGATGACCTGGTGGTCCTGAGGATGTTTGCCTTCATAAGCGTGTTGGGCCTCATTAGTTGTTTGGTATTCTGGTGGGCGGATAAGAAATATAAAAGGGGTAGCCTCAATGCAAAGGCTGATGGAAGTCACGAGAATATTAAAATTTATGGACACCTTGGTGACGAGGAAGATGAGGGACAATTGATGCAAATGCACATAGAAGAAGAACCAAGTATTTCAAAAGCGGAAGCATCACAAATGAGAAAGAGAGTCACGATATATCTGTGGATCATGGGTATGTTGCTGGGCGTTTGTTGGACCGTATTTATGGTTGTGGCCATTCAGAAGGGTGGGGTGCATGCTAGTGTTGGTCCCAAAGCATCCGAGGACTTATAATGCATTGCCATCAGACATAATAATAGATTATAATTTTATTGTAAAAATATTTTTAATAAACCCATTAGATCGCATTTAATTATACCGATCGATCGCAAAGGATCGTCAATATAGATAGAGATACTATATATATACATATTCGGATGTTACACCCAAAAAATATTTATTTAATTGTTATGGCGATTGAAAGTCGAATGATCAATCGATCAATTTTCTTCAATTAAAAATCAAATATCTGTTTAATTAATATTAACAACTTTGTCATTATTAAAAACAATTAGAGTGTGATTTATTGATCTGTTTTTTTATAAATAAAATTATTATTATCTTATAATAATTTAATAATAGAAGACCATAAGTTTTACGTGACCATAAAAGGAATCAAAATTCAAAATGGTTTTTGTGCAAGAAACCAACAACCAATTGTGGATTATTTTCTTTTGGTAAATAGCTAAGATCCGGTGAATTTAGACAACATCAATCACGCGATTTAGAATAGCAGAATTTGAGGTTCAAAACAAGAAGATTCTTCAATCAACTACACTAACATCAAAAATCAACACGTCAAGGTAAACGTAAATCTTTAAGCCGGGGATCCAGAATTTTGATTACGATCCACCTGATGTTGATCTGACGAACGGACTCTATAGTTGGACGAGCGGGCTTGTGTGTTTTCGGGCGGAGTCGTCGGCGCAATAATAGCCGGCGCATTACCATAGTTTTCAAACGGTCTTGGATGAAAGCTTGTGGGAGAGGTTTGCATCGTCGAATATGTGCCCCTCGGTGTCTCCATATTTGTCAAATTTCTACGTTGAGGATATTGTGGAATTTGAGGCATCGTTTTCACTGCGTTCGAATCACCGTGAGGATTTGAATGATGACTAGAACCACCAGCCTGCTGGCCATTGACATTCGCCTGAGAATCTGTGGCAACAAGTAAACCAAATCTTGGCGGGTTATACTCGTGTTGCACGGCAGAATATATTTGTGGATTCGCAGGGTACAGCATCGATGTTGATGTGTTTTGCAGCATGCTATTTGGTGCCTGTGGTTGTGGAATAACGTGTTGTTGACTTTGATGCGATGGTTGTTGAGGATTCGTCGTGTAGCACAGCCTTTGTTGAGGAACCTGCGGAAGTGAACCCGCTTGCATACTCATTGGTTGCAGCAAAAATGCATTCATCTGTGCTTGTTGCGTGTTTTGCCAACTCTGCGTGGGGTGGAGTTGGGAGGCAATATTTGTTCTAGGCATATTTTGCTGCTGTTGGTGCCCTGGAGTGTTCGAAATGGTTTGTTGCTGCATCGGTGCGTAATATTGATCCATCTGCCTCTGCCTCTGAATATCAAGCTGCATCTGCTGCTGAGACATTTGCTGTCGTTGTACGACCCTTTGGGAATGACCGGCAGGATTAAATTGAATGGGTGATGGGCGAGGCTTAGCCGCTGATTTGGATTCGGATAGTCCTGGTTCCGGTTCATCTTCCGCTTCTAAATCAATAACCATTGGATTTTCTTGAGGTTGGTCCACGCAGTTGGAGTCATTGAACCAGTTTTGAAAATTGGAGACATTTTCATCTGTCGGCGGGTTTAGAAGATGCGATATCGAAGAACTTGGTCGAGTGTAAGATGGCTTCGGCGGATCAATCGGTACTGGTGTATCGCTAAGACGACCGCTACCATAAACTCCGGTGCTAAGATTTTGACCGAGAAACGTTGGAGATTCTAACTTGATGTCCGAAGATTGACCAATAGGTTTAACAGCAGGTTGAGCGACCGGCACTGGAGATGGATCTACGTGTACTTGATTTTCGGTCCGAGATTCGACGGTCTTTTGAAGTGTTCCTGACGACATTTGCTTCTCATAATAATTTTTTACTTGAATTTCGGATTTTGTTTCAAGAATCTCCGAGATTTTTTTAAAATCTGTACCATATTGCGTAAAAGAGTTATTGAATTTTTCAACATCGGACTTATTCCAATATGACGAAGTCCCTTTTCTCCTCGGAATATTAAGATCATCTGTCGAATGCATTGAATTTCGTGATGGTCGTTCGATCCTCGTTGAAGATTCGCACTGTTTCGTCCTGCTTTTCCCTTTTATTATTGGTTTCTCTTTTTGTGAGGTGCACGGAACATCACCCTCCGTTATATGTTGACGCGATAACAATGTAAGCGCGTGAGCGGCTTCATCGACATCGTTTGTAGTTCTAAGGGCAGACTCCTGAAAAGCTTGCATAGACGAAGATCCCGGTATTATAACCTCTTTTAAATTTGTGGGAGACGATTCGATGGATACTTGCGGAGAAGCCGTTTGCGGTGAAGTCACAAAATCCTCCGCTTCAGTTTTAACAACTCCATTAGTGCATGACAAGTCTTTATTTTTCCGAATCTCCGAGATATCCTCGTTTTGGCGGGTATCGACCAACGAAGCAGTCGAGGTTGCAACCTTCACGTGTGAACTTTCTTCAGATGTTTGATGTTCAGGTAAAAAATCGACAATATCAACCGTTTTTTGTTGAACACCTGATACTATTGACTTCGATCTGGTTTTCCTTGTTGTGCCCTTGGCAGGGTTCGTCGTTGCCAAAATATTACGATTAACCGATTTTCCGATTTTTCCACCACAGTCTTCCTTGGATTTTCCGCCGCCTTTATTTGAAGATGACGCTTTTTTTAGCTCTTTATAAATCTCGACCTTTTTACTCTTCAAATAATAATAATAATTATGGCAATCAATCCTTTTCTTTTTCTCCAGGTGTCTCGCTATTTCCTCAAACCTTTTTGGATTAAGTTTGAAATATTTCATGAAAATAGAGTGCTCCTCTTCGGTCCATTCTTTTCCCAGATCCTTGTTGAATCCATAAAAAACTATCGGATCTCTAACAAGATAATTATTATCAATGAATTTTGCATAATTCCTATTTTTCTCTCCTATTATCATTGGTGGTATCTCGGCAGCTCGGCGTTGCTGTTCGTGTAATTTCTCAATCTGCTTAGCAATTTCCTCAACAGCCGCTTCGCTATTTACATAGTCATTCTTCGAAAACCTTTCACTATTTACATGGTCATTCTTCGACAGTCGCCCACTTTTTCTTGAGGAATTCTGATTCCGACTATACCTATCTTTTTTTGGTTTTTCTTCATTATTATTTACCCTTTGGTTCTCCTCCCACTTCTTTCTTAAATTATCTCTTTCTTTTCGCAACTTTTCGATTTTTTTGTTCTCGATATCCTTTATATGACTATAGTTTAGAATTAATGTAGACCTATCATAAGAAAGACCAACTCCAGCCCATAGATCATTGTATATCTTTTTTATCTCTTCTTCACTTGGCTTATCTGTCTTCGGTCTGGAATGAGCGCTCGACTCGGCCACGCACTCATCATTGACATCACTTCCACCTTGAGAGATTTCCCTTGACGACTTTTTATCCATACTCGAACGTTTTACAAGTTTTCTTCCAAGCGATTCGCTTTTCTTCTGAACATGATCACTAGTACGCTTTCGATTTTCGTTTTCTTCCTTATTTGCACGCAAAGCTCTTTCATCCGCACATTTTGTTTGTCGTTCTTCTTTGTATTTCTCTTTTTCTTTTCTACGATTTTCCTTTTCCTCCTTACGCGCTTCTCTTTCTGCTTTTTTTTTTGCAATAGATTCTTTCTTTTTATTGTAAATGTTAGTCCAATGATCTAGGTCTTCCTCTATCTGTTCTATTTCTCTACCAAGTTGGTTCATGAGCTCAGTTCGTGATTTCGAGTTGATAGAGGCAGCCTGAAGGTCCAATATATCAGTCGGGTTACTCGAAATATTGTTTGAATCATTAATTAAATTAATAGGCACATCATTCACAGATTCTCGGCTATTTTCAGCTGTACGGGAATCAACAAGTGCCTTATCTATGTACTTTTGTTCGTCCGGTCTTTCCAGGGTTAATTTTGTCTCTTCAAGTTTTAAAGGCGACTTTTTCTCCTCGACTAAAACTGCCTTTTGTTCAACTTGACCATTACCAAATTCTGTGAAAGTGGCCTCACTTGCTTCCCCATGCAATGATTGTGGTGGTTGTACTTGCCCTTCAACCATTTCAGAATCACCTTGATCAATGCTATGCCAACCCGACCATCCACCTTTTTCATTCCCACTTTCCATCCCATCCATATTCCCATTCGCCCTTCTCTTCTCGTCTCCGTCTTGAGAAGCTGCTATCAGATTCCCTTTATCCTGCTCTTTAAGAGAATTAGAATCTCCAATCTCCTCGTTTTTTTCGGAATGATAAACACTAGAACCTTGGCTCCTATCCTGTCCTGCACGACAAGGTGAAATCTCTGTAGAGTTTCTAGACAACGATTTCGGTTTTGGTGAAATAGATTGACATCTTGGTTGTAATGACGGAGAACTCGTATTTGATGACCTAGTCGGTGATGCCGATCTGTTATTATGCTCTCGTCGAATATTAGGTGTGATCTGAGTGTTGAAGCGAGGTCTATCAATTTCACCTGGTTCACCATCTCGATAAAATTGTCTTCTCCTAAACTGGCCATAATCATTCTCACGATCGAAATATGATGGAACATTGCTATTACGATGTTGAGGGTAATCACGGCCTGGCAGTCTATCTCTATCATTCTCACGCTCATAATGTCGTTCTCTACCTGACCTGCTTTCTCTTCTTAACCATGGCCTGTCACGCTCGTTTGGATAAATATTCCGTCCAGAATAACGATCAGGGTCCCTGGAGTAAATACGGTCATCATTATAGCCATAACTTGCTGAATTTGTCGGATATCGAGGATCCGATCTCGGGGAGTCCTCATGGGAACGATATCTGTTATCTCTACGGTATATATGGCGTTCATCATACTTTGATAATGTCACAATATGATACAATGTAAATCTCAATTGGAGTTTAAAGAAAAATCTCATTGAATACACAAGTGGAATTATACGCCAATAAAAATGTTGAATATCAAAATACCTCATGTGTATATTCCATTTCTGATGACGGGCCTCCATCAGATGCACCTAAGCGCCTCATGCTAAAATTTCTACGATCACCAAATGAGGAACCGCCAGGTTGTGGGCGATCTATATCATCATAGTCCATTGAAATTCTTGGCCTTTGGTTACTGTAATGACCGCCTCTAGACAATACAGGTGGTGGTCTTTCATCTCTAAATTTTTTTGGTATATACATGGTCAACCCAAAGTGCTTTCTTTGAAAATTAAAATTTGAAGGCATATTTGAAACTTTGCCGCCTAATCGTACCGTTCCCTTATTTTTTTTTTCAAGTATACTCCACATACCTGTATCTTTCAATTCTTTGATCACGTTCCGGACGATCTCTTCTAAAAAATTAACCACGCTGTTAGAATTGTTAATAAAAAATCTACCGTAGTTACAATAGTTTGCGTACCTTGGGATCCTGGAATCTACAAAGGATTCTGTGTCCATTAGTTCCAAAAAGAATGTAAAATTTTTGACTTGTATACATATTGCTGTCACTTGACATAAGTAAGTCTCACTAAAAAATGATTACGTAACAAGCTTGAATTTTTCACGGGAATCTCGGTTTATTTTCCGAATGGTCGGACGTAATTTTAAATAAGCCAATAGGATTTTTTTAAAGAAATGATTACTTTGCAAATATTGCCAAATCAGATACACAGTTTATTAATTTATTAAAAAAAGGGCAAGATATACTGTATATTATGGTTAACCATTATTTTAACTTATTATTGATACAGTATTAAGAATTTTAAATTTAATTTTAAAAATTTTTATTTTTAAAGAATTTTTAAAAAATATCATATATAATAATTAGTATATTATTATTATCAATTATTCTTTTAAATTATTAAATAAAAAAAATTATAAAAAAAATTATAAATTAAAAAAATATATATATATATATTTTTTAAAACTAATATTAAATACTAGTTTTTATTAAACAATTAAATTCTTAATATAATATCAATTATCTTATATAAATTATATATTTTTGCTTCTAATATATAAAGTAATAATAATTATCAATAATTAGTTAATATTAATTATTATAATTTTTATTTTTATTTTTTTTTTTAAACCCTCTGTCAGGCTAGTTATGTATGCTTTATTAAACAATTGTAAGCTGTACATATAGTATGAATCACTAAAGCTAAAAC